TCCCTTTGTGGATTGTCTGGCGCAGTCTGACACTGGGTTTCCCATTGCCGATTTGACTTGATAAGTCCAGCGCATAGGTGATCTGCCGCGTAATCTGGTTCCCTCTACTTTCCCCTGTAATTTATCTAGACGAATAAAATACAGAAGCGTTTGTTTGAACGTGGTAATCTCGGAAACATGTCAAGGTGGCCCGCGGCTTTAAAACGCCCGTTTCTCATGCATGAATGTATGGGTTCGAATCCTACCAACGGCAAGTACCAATATGACTTTTTCGGAGTTGTATGTACTTTCCAAGATTACTTAGACACCACTGACAAACGGTGAAGGTAAACATCATGAGGAAACCTGGGCTTATAATTTCTAATTACAAGTTTGAAAAACCCGCATTGTGATTAATGCTCTAACCTTCTCCGTGTGAGAAGAGGCTTTGCTCAGCAGTGGGCATAATAGGCTGATGATGATGAATATCTGAAAGTACCGATCGGAATTGAATAATTATTTTGAGGAAGGCTATCAATGCTCTAGGTTATAAAACACACACTACAGTCAATATGAGCCGAACAGTGGGTGAAACCGCGTAATAGATGTGATGTTTAACTTTTATCTAGATACCTACCTAATATTCAAATACTTAAACGCCACTCAATTTGAAGACGCTCTCAACAATAGTTCCGTCACTACAAATTCTTTGAAATTTGACAGAGATAGAACGATATTTAAGTACAACTGTTTCGGTATTCGGGCGTAAGTTTTGCAGAATGAAGCAAAAACGAGATTCCGTCAATTGTTACGACTGTTGTAGAAGTATTTATAATTATAAATACATTTTATAAATAAAATTTTCAAAATCGTTGTCGTGATTGAATTTGTAAGTCAAAACTTTTCAGGAAGCAAGGAAGGAAGTTTGTGATAACAGTCATTATGAAACATTATTGTTATTTTTTCAGCAGGGCTTCGGAGGAAAATTTGAATTTTTCGCGTGACCGGCTATCAGAACTTCGGTTCACTGAAACATGGGTTTCAAAGTTTTATTAGTTGGCTAATTCGCCAGCTTACAGTTTAATTGTTTGGTTTCCGAATCTTCAGAACGACGCTTACAATGATTGATAAGAGAAGTATTTTGATGCCCAGTAAATGAATTTTGTGATTATTTTATTTTATGTTTAATTAAAGTAGTATTTACCTCCTTACCAGTGGCGTAACTGCAGGGTGACAAGACGGTAAAATGTGATGGACCCCCAGTTCGAAGGGGTCCCGTTCAGAAGTTTTCATCTGAACTTCTTTGTTTTTATCGGGAACGCCTCGAAAGTATGTATTTCCGCCGCCTTCCCAAATGTATGTATTTTCCATAATAAGTATGGTACGTAAAATTCAGGATTATTTAAATCAATACAGTAGGCAGCGTATGTATGTGCGTCATTCGAAGAGAGGACTCGATACAAATGAGCTCAATAAAGAAAGCAAAAGGTTCCCCAAGTGATGTACTCGTAAGAATTGGGCAAATTATTTTGATTCTTTTTTAGGGATCCGTACCCAGAGGGCCAAAACGGGATCCTGATATTAAATTCCGTTGTCCGTTTTTCTGCCATTTGTTGTATCTTAAAAACAGTTATAGATTAAATAGACAGTTGATGTCCGTTGGTCTTTTAGTAGGTCTACGTAGGCTAGCATGTCGTATCTCATGAACTAGGTACTTGTGACTTGTATGCAACAGCTAAAATTGTACCGTTGCCCCGTTGGAAGACGATGGTTAATTCTGTTACCTACTTTATTAAAGATTTTAAAACGTTTTGTGGTCGGTCATGGTATGAAACCTTTGCACACGAGTCCCACTGGCACTTGACCTTTTTTTTATAAACTCTTAGATACAAACGACTTCATTTGAATGAGACTGAAAGTATTTTATTGTTAAGTAAGAGTATCTATCACAGAGGTTATTCTGTTCAATTTTAAATTCTTATTAGTGCTCCAGTAAGCGAGTTAGTGTTTTAATGTTTTTAATTTTGTATACGTAATTGATTCTTTGTTAGAAATAATTTTATTTAACTCTCACTTTATGATCCCAGTTTTCTACAAGAGGTACTTAGGAATGATGTTTTATAGTATTATAGTTTTAATTTTTACTGAAAATATATTGTAGAAGCCTCAAAATCTGTAAAAATAAATCTAAGGAAATTTTATGTTAAAAAAGGAGATCATTGACCCATTATTGACCTGTGATTCTACATCAAGTGTTAGATGACTCCACTCGGTACAACTACAACACATACCATACACAACACATGCATAAAATCAGGTACATAGTTACAGTTACATACATATGCCAAGCATCCTGCTTTAAGCAATAGGTGATATTGTAATTAGGTCATTGGCAGTCGCATTACATAATTTTCTAATTTCAAATCAGCACAACGTAACGTAGCACCACGCTTTTCAATCTCCGAAGAAGAGAGGAACTAGATATAGAAAATACCTACGGTGCAACACCAATTCTCTACCAGTCATCTTATGAGTCTATGGTGAACTTATTTATTGCATACGGTACGCCAGTTAACAATTTCGAACTTGGTGCTGCTACTGAGTCATCATCATCAACATCAACAGCCTATAAGCTGCTGACCTATGGCTTCTCTCACATGGAGGTTTGAGCATTAATCGCCACACTTCTCAATGCGGGTTGACAATTTCAAACTTATATTTAGAAATTATAAGCTTAGGATTCCTCACGATGTTCTCCTTCATTATCAGTGGTGTTTGAATAATCTTAGAAAGTACATATCATTCGGGAAGTTATGTTGGTACTTGCTGTTGATAGGTTTCGAACCCGCACCCACATCCATGACGGCGGGCGTCTGGGCGGGCCACCACGACTTGTTACTGAGTAATTTCTGAAAAACGGAAAAAAATCTCGACCTTTCCCGACGAGGTAGGCTTCAGTAGGTAAGCCTTTTTCCCATCTAAGGGCTCATACACAAAACTATGTGCGAGCTCCGCATCGCATTGCAACAACTTGCGAATTGATTCGTATCGTGCATCAAAATTTTATCTTCCCAAAATCTTCTTGTTTCTTTTTCTTGTAGGTATCTCCAAAGCAATAACAGAAATGCACACTTCTTTTTATGATCCATGTCACGACCTAGTTTTCAATTTAAAATACGTTTAGTACGGTTGACGGTCGTCGAAGGAATAGTCACCCTGGGAGACGCCTTGTCGCACGAAATCGCATCGCAGCAATTCGCATCGTAATTTTTTGCGTTGACAATTCGCATTGCATCGCATCGCAGTTTTGTGAACGAGCCCTAAATTATTTGCCTACCTTACCTTATAATAATTATAGTATTGTCGGTATGTAATATTGTTTGTTGTAACCAATCCACAGGGCCCGCATGATGGATTACAACTTGTCCCGGAGACGAGGCCTGTGTCCTGACAGGAGAAACGTTAAAGGTTGATTAATTATACCAAAATCTGCGTAAATAGAGCAGCATTTTGATTCTACTCTATTTTGACGACTTTCTTTAATTGAATTCAGATACTTAGTTAACAAAAAAATCTTAAAAAAATAAATAAAAAATCAAGTTTATATCAAAAACCTTAGCACAAAAAATTCTGCTTCAATTTTTCAAAAATAATTCTTAGAGAGTAAGTAAGTACCTACTACCTACGTTAGTGGTAGGAAAGTCTTGAATAGACAATTTTCCAATAATCCTGTTAACTCGTCGAGTACCGGTTTTGTAGACACAATTATAGAATAGGTTGCGGTCACCGGTGACCGCTTGGTGTTTGACAGTTTAATAGGCTGTTCCAATATCTTTAATTTATATTTGTCTACACTACAAAACAATGACTTCTTCTTGCTCACATCAGTTGATCAATTGCCATCATTGAATTATTATACTTGTAGGTACCTAGTTTATAACTGCGTGTTTGAAACAAACAAAGTAATACCTACCTAACCCGAGTGGGTTAGTAGTACTATAGTTATCAGGAAAAACAAAGGTTTAAAACGTATAAGTAAGTACCTAGGTACTTGCGTGTAGGTACCTAACAGTGTGTAGACTATCCAGGTAACATTGCTCTAAGATCTCGTTATTATGTGAGTCCATTACGGGAGCAATTTTCTTGTGTGTAGTTGATCTTGCCATAAAACTGTCGTCCCAGGTGTTGTTCCACAGCTTATGTCTGCTACAATTATTTTTGCCAGCTGCCGTAGTGCTGTACCTAATGCTTACTCGTAGTTCAATTCAATTATTCCGAGTGTAATCGGGTTTTATTTTATAGTAACTAGGTACTCCTACCGAAAGTCCAATGCTCTAAAGGAAACAGAATAGGAAAAGAAAACAAATAGGAATAAATATACAGATTGTACGTACACTCGATCCACACAGTATTTGGGCATCGATTTGCTTGCATAAACTGCATTTTGCTGTCCTTCGGATGATCTTTCATTTTCTACTTTGTTACTTATTGCCCATAATTTTAATATTAATACACAGATCCATACTCAGTTTCACTGTATTAACTCGACAATTAGTTTTGAAACTTTTAGTTAGTTACAATGGAAGGAAAACCATTAAAATAAAGGCGGTCTTATTCATTTTCGCTTTGCATTCATTTAAATCTTTTAACGGTTGACCCTTCTCACTAAACTAACCCAACGGTTTCATTAATATTTCAACAGCTTAGCATATTATTTTGTTAAGAGTAGTAATTTGCCGGATAAACTGAAAACTTTTTGAGAAGTAATAGGTAAAGATTTGCTTAGGTTTCTATACAAGTAGCTATTGATAATGAAAACTTCATGAATCCTTTTATTCCCATAACAAAATCATTAACAAAATAAATATTTCTAAAAGAAGCAAACCTGTTTTTTATTATGCGTTATCTGTATTATTTCTGGACTTGCTTGACCTCGTCCTCGTTTGACATTGACAGCTTCAGCTGACTGATTTAAATTTACTGATAGAGTATAGTTTGACAATACAAGTTACAAAGTCACTGGATTGTATTGTGGTCAAATCTTTTGTTTACTAATTTCAAAATCTAAGTAAACACTTTGATTAAACAACAAAATAAATTATAAAAGTTATTTAAACAAAGCGTTTACCATATCTTCATAGACCGGTTCAACATGTCACATATTTCCGAAGACTATTTAAGTGGAGTAGTACGTCGGATAGCAATGGTGTGTCAGCTCAGTAATTGGAGTTTTGTACAAGAAAAGTTTGTGAATATGGCACAGAATTACTTTGGAGAATTAATACCGATCACATTGTCCGGTACACGTAATGGGTTTTCAGTGTCATACAATATAGTTTTAAAATTGGCGCCGATTAACGAGGAGTATCGAGTGAGCGGTGCCGTAACCGTGATGTTTGCGAGGGAAACATACGTGTATTCTACTCTTCTCAAAGCCTACAGGGAGATACAACAAAATTTGCCAGCCCAGTCCCAGTATGTTATACCTAAATGCTACTATGTTCACCAAGAATACCTCAAGGAGGCTATAGCTCTGCAGGACATGACTGTTGAAGGATATAGGCCCTATGTACATGACATGTTCTTGGATCTAGATCACACTCTGATATCTCTAAAGAGTCTTGCTAAACTTCATTCTCTGTCATTTATTTTACAAAATAAGAAACCTCAGCAGTTTGTGGACATTATGACTATATGTGTGCCTTTGACTGAGAATACAAACTCAAGGTACATGGATATAATGAAAGATAGACTAGATAAGGCATTGAAAAAGTTTCCAGCCTCACAGATAACCCCAGTCTTACAAAAGTTGAGGAAGAACTGTGCCAGATATTTTAAAGCCGCTGTCTCTTCAGTACAAAATACTTGTATTTGTCATGGAGACGTTTGGAAAGAAAATATTATGTTCAAATATGAGGCAAGTATTGTTTACTTAGGATTGCTGTTACACTGGATTGATGTACAGGGTTATAAGATACTATGTATAAAGACTTCTTACTTCTCCAAAATAATAATGATCTTTGTTTATTGTTTCGGTCATCCATACATCATTTTGTATGTCGTTGTGTAATGGAATGGTATTTCTTTTGCAGGGTAACAAGCCGGTGTCTGCATGCATGATAGACTATCAAACAACAAGAAAGTGTAGTCCAGCATTTGATGTGATGTATCTAATATTGAGCAGTACAAACTCGGAGCTGAGGAACAAATACTTGCAGCAACTGATGGAAATATACTACAGGACGTTTGAAATAGCAATAAAGGAGGCCGGTATTTCACCACAGACCTTATATTCTAGGCAAATGTTTGATAGTGACATGAAGGTGGTAGCGCCTGCTTGCTTGATAACAGCTAACACCGCACTATGGCTGTCAAGTGGTTTGCAAGAGGAGGGACATGTGAGGAGCAAACATGTTTGGAGTACCAAGGAGGAGAAAGATAAGGCTGTGGAAAAGTATAAAACAATTATATCAACAATGATAGATGATCTTACTAATTTTGGATACATATCTATTGATGAATTGTAAGGCCGCAATATGTTTATGTCTAGAATATTACTAAAGACTGTATGAAGTTAATTTTACAGGAATGTTATACTATTATATTTTTCTCTATCAATACAGAATACAATAGAATGAAATGCCATGTTAATCAAAAAAATAATAACATTTTTAATCACAATAACAATGTTAACGGCAGCTAATATTCTTATATCGGAAAGAAAAGTAATCTCATAATAAGAAATGAAATAAATAAATATGCAATTTCATGTAAATAAGTTATGGTGAACCAAAACTGATTTTTGGTTAATTGTTATGTACATACAAATTATATTTAGGATTTACACCGAGCCAAATTGTTGAATAATTTTACATAACATAAATAATTAAGGTTTTAACTTTGTTTATTATTTTTTTGTGTCTAATTTTAAACAAATTGTTTAATTAATTGCTTTTTGCAGATTTCTAAAAATTGTTGCATTTTTAAATCTACGAAACAGTTGAGTGCTCTAGGCTTTAAAGGCGAAAGTAGAAAATCCCGCTTGTTGAATTTATTTAAAAAAGTACCTACATTGGTACATAATTAAATTAAAATACAGATGTAATTATCAATCAAAAAATTTGTTCCTCTTGAAAGGACGAAACGAGGAATCGAATGTAAATTACCATAGGATACGTCAGTTGGGTCGTGGCGTAGGTACTTTCAGTGGGAATTATAAAGACGCAGTGGGTGAGGGACCCGCCGACGCACTCAAATCCTCTACATAATGCAGAATTCCTCTGCGTCCCGACTCGCGAATTTATAAGGCAGCTGGAATGGGTTAAATTTAGTTTATAAAATCTTTTAGTTTATTGTAGGAATATGTTTAAGTAAAACATTTAGTAGTTGATGATATCATAAATTATTGTAGTATTGGTTTTATATATACGTTTTAATCAAAAGAATAATTTAATATTCGGTACTGATAGGAAGATACATAGTTGGTAGGTAGTACCTACTTACAGCAACTACCTGCTCAATAAAATAGTTCTACGTTTGGAAACTCAATCCTTCTCCGGGCCGAAGTCCAGGAGTAGGAACGGGGTGGTTTTTAGTCAGTAAGGGTCTGACAGTCCTTCTCACCTCACCCAAGGCGGGAGAAGTGATTGGATGATTTCACCCCCTCAAAAAAGCCCAATCAATCACACACACGTTGCCTACTCCCAGACTCTCACACAGTTATCTACATTTTTTGTTCAAAATAAGAAACATTCGCTTCATACGCTTCCGTGTAGATACTTAGCATCACAGTCTACTTATAAAACTTATTGGTTGGTGCGAAGTTAGTTAAAGTTGTTCCCAGATGTTGCACCGAGCACAATAGCTCGCTTTTCGCATTCAGAGCAAACTTCGTTGATCAGCTATTTTAATTGTTAAGTGTTAAAGTCTTGGGATGAAGACGCCTTTATTGAGTACTTGCGCGCAACAAAGCCTTTTAAATCTACCAACAACTTTTGTGGTAGGGGCGACCAAACATTTTTTGTATTTAGTTTTCGAATTGTGAGATCTTATTCTCTTTAGTCTGATGGATGGATGGATGGATGAAATAGTAGATGGATTTTTAAAATGATGATGCTTGGTTTGACTTTAAAGACGTTCGTTCTATGTCAGGACCTTTTTATTTTATCAACCCAAGAAATAACACTTCGGTCTAGACTATAATAAATACTTTTACTCAGTTTAAAGTTAAATTGTTTGAGACGAGTGCAGCTCAGTGTCCAAGTTAGATAGTGCATATTTAGACGAAGATTGAACATTGAAATAAATTCACTTCCCGCCCTGAGCTCTCGGAACGTTGAGAATACTATTTAGCTTTATTAAGTAGCCGTCCTGCAGTCCGCGACAGTTGGGAAGAAATTTTATTAGATTCTTTCATTTCCACAACGAAAATACTATGTTTAATAAACTTTTATTGGAGTTTATTTGGTTTCTGCTATTGCTCTGTGTATAAAAGGATCGTAGGTGGTAAGTTATCACTCGCGAGGTTTTTAATATTTTCGGCGTTACTTGGGTTGGTAACCTCTCAACAAAAATGTTCTTACACATTTCATGAGAGGTTTCGCTTAAATGTTTTTCAAAAATGCTTTATACAATCAAGATCAAACGGTACGTTGATTCAAAATCTTGCTTTAGTCATTATATTGCTACATACCGTTATTTTTAACCGACTACTAAAATAAAAAAAGGATTTCTCAGTTTTACCTGTCCTGTATGTATGTATGTATGTATGTATGTATGTATGTATGTATGTATGTTTGTGCGCAATTATCTCGGGATTGGCTGAATCGATTTTGATTTAAGGCAGCAAAAATAGTAGGTAGGTACCTAGGTAGGTACTTATATATTAAGTATAGTATTTCCAGATAAATAAAGATTATTAAATAAGTAACTGATAGAAGTACCTAAATATCTGTCTGCGTCTGTCAACGATAGCAGTGATAATAAATAGGATATTATAATTATTCTATGTTAATTATATAATGACAAAGGTAAGGTTAAATTATCCTTCCTCCTGTATCCGTAACTGCTTAACTAACTCCATTAAAATAATAAAAGGTACTCAAGTGTAACAGTTACCTTCCGTTGCAGAATTAATGTTATTTTAAAGTTTAATGTAATTAATTTTCATGTTGCTTAATGTTCATTCGTACCTTCTTCCGACAGGATAGGTACTATTTGTATATCCTTGTTTAATTCTATAATTTCTTGAGTGGGCCATCATAGGAGCCATATTTTAGTCGAGAATATACCTACCTACTTATTTACATTAATTTACCGGAGTATTTTAATATAAATGAAACATTATCTTCTATCTTCCTTGTGTCGCGCTATCGAATTCTTGTTGAACTTAGACCCAAATAAAACAGGTATATTCAAATTCAAATTCATTTAAAAAAAACAAAAAACAAAAATATAACGGGTGTTATTGAAAATTTTTCACGTGACAGTCTTCTACAATTGAAAATCCATACTCGCTTCTAAAGAATGACTACACGAAGTTAGGGCAAGTAAAAAAGAAAGCAAAACTAAAAAACCCGGCTTTCACTATTTTAAAGACGTCTTAAGCTTTTGTAGTGTCATAAATTGTCGCGGGATCTGCGTACAAATGACGACAAAGCGTTGGCTGGCTTCCCGCCAGAGACTCCGGAGCAGAGTTACTCGCGCGTTAAGGCTGCACACACGACCTCTATTGTGGGGAGGGGATCCACTCGGATCCAGGTACACCACTTCTCAAATAGGTAGCCACACTTAACATTCAAAGCTGAATCTCCTTAGAATTCAAAGAGCTGGTCATATTTCACAATTCGGTGTTCGATAACACGTTTCTAGAAACATTAGGTACCTTCTTATAACCTCACAAATACCTACTCCTCAAAGTTTCATGGGGTTTTGTCCGATTTTCTAACAATTATGTAGATTTTAATGTCGTGGTGTTTTTTAAATTCTAACAATTATGTAGATTTTAGGCTGGTTTTACAGTCACGCCGCTAGACGCGCCGTTGGACAGCGCGCTGTTGGACAGCGCGCGTTTGAACAGCGGTGCACCATAAAACGATCCCATAAACATCTTCTAATTCGCACTTCGTCAATTACTCGACCCGTATCGATGTGATTCATTTTGTACACAACAGTACCTAACGGCACGTCTCAACGGCGTGAGACTAAAACGCACAATGGCCGTAGAAGCGCACGAGCGGCGCGCGCTTCGACCGCGCCGCGCGAATAGGACGCGTTCAACGAACGGCGCTGCTCAAGCGCGCGAATTTGAAACGCTACTAATACCCCAATACATATCCGAGCGCGCGCGCTCCGACGGCGCTGCCGAAACGCGTGACTGTAAAACCAGCCTTAATAAAATGTCGTGGCCCTGAGGTTTAAGAAAATGTCGTGGTGGCCCGGAGGTTTAAGACGCCCACTTCTCATGCATGAGGGTGCGGGTTCGAAACCTACCAACGGCAAGTACCAATGTGACTTTTTCCGAGTTATATGTACTTTCTAAGATTATTTAGACACCACTGACAAACGGTGAAGGAAAAACATCGTGAGGAAACCTGGACTTATTATTTCTAATTATAGGTAAGTTTGAAATCGCCAACCCGCATTGAGCAAGCGTGGTGATTAACGCTCTAACGTTCTCTGTGTGAGAAGAGGCTTTGCTCAGCAGTGGGCATTTATAGGCTGTTGATGATGTAGATTTTATAGATTTTGAAATGGCCTTTTTATAAATAATTTTTTGAACACTGAAAATCGTTTAGTGGAGTTTTAGGTGGTATAGGCTCAAACGTGCTACGAATAAATGTAACGGGTTGTTATATTAAAATTGTTAGAAAGTAGCCTATTCAACAGTAAGCTTCATTTGAAATTAATAAATACCTACTTTTGAATAGCTTTTTTCGAATCTAAATTCACGTTATCTCTTGATTTTTTCGAATCAGACATGACGCCTTTTTGTTTTAAAACATACTAATCACTTAGTGGGTACTCAATAAGTAGTTAAGTAGTTCTACTACTGCCACTAAGTAGTACTTACCTAAACACTCAAGTATTATTTGACATGTTTCTTTAAAGTTAAATGCGCTTAGACATATTCTTTTTTTTTAAAACCTTGCCCCACACTAGGATTATCTCCTGTGTCGTGGGTGCGTTTATGGACACATTGCACGGCAGCCGGTTGCCCAGCCACCGCACCAACCATGCAGTCATAATGATTAGATAAACCATGCCATACACAAGTCAAAGACCTTTTAATGTGTTTGCCTCTTAAAATCACCGACCTAATTATAATTCGTGCCACTATCAATGAGTGTTATTCTGTAACATTAAGTTTAATCGAGACGACCCGCAGGGCACTTTTATCTAGATAGTGAGCATACTCCGTCCAATGTGCCACATCCGGCACAAGTTTCAGATTAAAAAACTTTCTTAGGAATTACTTTTGGTAGTTTAGTTATATTTATAGATAGAGTAGAATGTCTTCTTAGACTTGGGGTCGTAAGTGTGCTATGGATGAATTTGGACTTCCGTGGTTGCGACGGCGTGTCTATGAAATTTTGCTAATAATATCTATATCGGAACAATAAAATGTCAAGAAAATTGACTGAATATCTAGGTACGTTAGGGAATACAAAGAATCCAATGTTTTATTAGCAAATAGTTCTCTTAGTCCCAATTTTGCATATTGCCAGTTTAAGTTTCTTGCTGATACGAACTGTAACATTTAGGACTCTTGTCCTCATACTTAGGTACCTTTTTTTTAGGGGGTAAAATCATCCAATGCTTCTCCCGCCCGGGTGAGTCGAGAGGAAGTGTCAGACTCTTCCTGACTAAAAACAATTCCGTTCCTACTCCTGCACTTTG